AGAGCATCATCCAGGTGTATCTGGGTATCCTTTAAGAGAAGAAAAAGAAATTATAAGGTGGCACAGCACTGTTGCACAATGGCAATTACCACCAATCTAATAATTATTGTCAGTATAATATATATTTATTTATAGATATAATACATATTTGTATGCAGAATTATTACATCAGTATATGCAGAGTATCTAGGAACGTGAACAGGAGATCGATACATGGTATTGCACACTGCCCCAGGCTGAGTGACAGCCCTGCCTAAATTTAAGGCTGTGCAAGGGGACAGCTGACAGCAGTCAGCTGACTGACAAAAGTAACTTACAAGATGAAGGAAACTGGGGCAGAAGAAAGAACCTTCTCCCATCCTCTGAAGTGTCCCTACATAACAGACATGATGCTCTGGGATTGAAAAACGAAGTGCACATGAGTAACTGACAGGATCCAGGGAAAGTCAACCATTTAAAGTTGATCCAATCACCCACTTGCATCAGAATCTGTAACACTGGAAAAGCACGGAAGCTAATAGTAACTGGAGATTCCTTACTGAGAGGCACCAAAACATCCACTTACCATCCAAACAATTTCTCTAGAGAAGTTTTCTGCCTATAAAGAGCTCACATTTGTGATGTCACTGAGAGGCTGCCAAGCCTGATAAAACCTTCAGATTATCTTGTGCTCCTACTATTCCACGTAGGTTTTAATGATATTTCAACAAGGCAACTTATAACCATGAAAAGAGACTGTATGACCCTTGGAGCAATGCTAAAAGGATCTGGAGCACGGTTGGTGTTCTCCTCTATCCTCCCAAGTCAGAAGGTGTTTAGGCAGGAGGTGAAAAAATGAACAGGTGAATGCCTGGCTGTCTAGCTGGTGCAATATTCAAGACTTTGGTTTCTATGATCATGAATCTACCTTTGAGAAGCTTGGTCTGTTGGGAGCTGATGGGATTCATCTGACCAAGTGGGGAAAGAGGGTCTTCACCAATAAGCTGGCTCGAGCTTTAAACTAGACTTAGCAGCTGAAGGGAACAGAGTTTTGAGTAACAGAGAAAAGCCAGGAGCTGCTGATGTATTAGGAATCAACGGGGAAACATCTGTGAAATGCTCCAAAAGAATTAGGGTTTGTTCCTCTAAAAAGGTGATATGGTTGATGGCCCAACTGAAATGTCTTGATCCCAATGTACACAGCATGGGTAACAAACAGGAGGAGCTGGAAGCCACTGTGCAGCTAGAAACTTAAGATCTAATCACTGTCACTGAAACTTGGTGGGATGAATCACATGACTGGAGTGCTGCAATCAGTGGCTGTAAACTGCTCAGCAGGGGCAGACGAAGAAGGAGAGGCTGGCAGGTTGCCCTCTATGTAAAAAATAGATTGATTGCACAGAGCTGTCTTTGAAAAACAGTGATAAGCCAGGTTCAGTGCTTATGGTTCAAAATTAGAGGCCAAGCCAACGAAGGAAATGTCATGACTGGTGTTTACTACAGGCTACCTGACCAAGGGGAACCTGTGCACGAAGTAGTATTACTTCAACTATGGGAAGCGTCACACTCACAGGCTCTGATCCTGCTGGGGAACTTCAATCACCCTGACATCTGCTGGAAAAGCAGCACAGCAAGCTGTAAGCAGTCCAGGAGATTCCAGGAGTGGATCCAAGGTAATATCTTTATCCAGGGGACAGACAGCTTAACTGGAGGAGAGGCATGGACCTGTTGCTTACCAACACAGATGAACTAATTAGAGATGCCAAGATTGATGGCAACCTGGGCTGCAGTGATCATGCACTGGTGGTATTCACAGTCTTGAGGGATATGGGCCAGATGAAGAATAAGTTCAAGACTCTGAATTTAGGAGAGCAGACTTTCAGGTTTTTAGGGAATTACTGGATGGGACGCCCTGGAAAACTGCCCTCAGGGATAAAGGAGTAGAAAAGAGTTGCCAGCTTTTTAAGAAAGTTTTTCTTAGAATACAAGAGCTCTAAGTTCCCACATGTAAGCAATCAGGCAAGGTAGACAGGAGAACAGCATGGCTGAGTAAGGGCATCCTGGTCAAACTGAAGTGTAAGAAGGAAATGCACAGGCAGTGGAACCAAAGACGTGTCCTGGAAAGAAAGTAGGGATGCTGCCTGGATGTTCATAGGATCAGGAAAGCTAAGGCACAGTTAGAGCTGAATTCCTGTTGTCTTAAGTTTTGTTGTGGCCTAACCTTGAGTACTGCGTGCAGTTCTGGGCCCCACAATTTAAAACAGATGTTAAGGTACCTGAATGCATCCAGAGGAGGGCAACAGGTGATGAAAGGAAGACATGTCCTCTAAGTTTGAGGACATGGGGTTTGTCTAGTTTGGAGAGAAAGACACTGAGGGGTGACCGTATTGGTCTCTATTTCATGAGGAGGGGAAGTGAAAAGAGAGGTGCTGATCTCTTCTCCCTGGTATTCAGTAACAGGAAATTATGGATGCCTCATCATTGGAAGTGTTCAAGGTCAGGTTAGATTGAGTTTTGAGCAGCCTTGTCTAGTAAAAGATGTCGTTGCCCATAACAGAGGAGCGGATCTACATGATCTTTGAAGATCCCTTTCAACCCAAACCATTCTATGACTCAATGATTCTAGGATATTAGACAAACTAGACACCTAGCTTGTGCAAATCCTTTGCTTAACATACCTTGAGCACTGCCTGGGTGTTTCTCAGGTTCTTTTGTGACTCTGCAGCCACGCGGTTGGCATGGCTCAGCTGGATCTCCATTTCATTCAGGTCTCCCTCCATCTTCTTCTTCAGCCGCAGGGCTTCATTCCTGGTCCAGGGTGCTCTGCATGGACTCCACAATTCTGAGGTGGTTTCTCTTCATCTGGTCAATCTCTTCATCTTTCTCTGCTATCTTCCTGTCAATCTCAGACTTCACCTGGTTGAGCTCAAGTTGGAGGCGCAGGATCTTCCCCTCTTCATGTTCCAGGGAGGCCTGGACAAGTGGACACAAACATTTTTAAAGTTGATAAAACTACTGTTCGTGTTCAACGTAATTACAGACTATTTCAGGAAATCTCAGCTGGTTGCACTTCCCAGCCAGTACAGAGGGAGACCAAGTATTCTTTAGCCATATTTCCCCATTGATTGTATTTTTAGTGCAGACACCTGCAATTATGGGCATGTACCTCAGCTTCCTCCAGAGCAGCTTGGATTTCAGATTTCTCCTGCTCAATCTGCTTCTTGATTTTCTCCAGCTCATGAATTGCCTTTCCTCCCTCAGCAATCTGCTCTGTGAGGTCAGAAATCTCCTCTACAAAGAAGGGTGAAAAGTGACACGAACAGGCACAGAGTTGGATGGGGAAAGGTCCTGATGCACTAATGTGACAGGCATCTTTACAGACCTGCAAGCACTGACCCCTTTAGTGGGGCAGATAGACAAGCTTATGAGAAAGCCCTGCCAGGAGCAGGGGGCCAGGGACTTACGCTGCAAGTTCTTGTTCTCACGCTTCAGCGTTTCCAGGTGGTCCAAGGACTCCTCATAGGCATTCTTCATCTTAAACAGCTCCGTGCTGAGAGAGCGAGACTCCTTCTGGGAGGCTTCCAGCTCAGCCTGCGTTTCCTCATACTTCTGCTTCCACTCTGCCAGGATCTGAAGAGAAACAGGGTCTCAGTATGGATGTGGCAATCAGGAGGGGATGCTCTGCCCAGGAAGCCCAGGGCTGGAGCCCAAAAGACCTTGTCAAAGTTCTTCTGCTTCTTATCCAGGGCTGCGCAGGCAGCATTGGATCGCTCCACATCAATCATCAGGTCCTCCACTTCATTCTGCAGCCTCTGCTTTGTCTTTTCCAGAGAGGCACATTTGGCATTGACGGCTTCAACGTGTTCCTCTGCATCCTGCAGGCGCTGTGCCAGCTTCTTCCTGGGAGGTGGTAAGCACAACTCATAGTTTGAGAGCAAAGGAGAGGCTGTCGTCTGTGGATGATGGGCTTTTCACAACAGTATGTTTTATCATTTCATGAATATGTATCCTACGCACAGAGAGTGCAAATCGTCTCTCAGCCAGTCATTGTTTTCCCAGTTCTGATTTCCCAGCCTGAACAAGCAGTGTGCCTTCTGTGTCTAGTGTCCACTGGTTTTCTGAACCATTCTCTGGGTCAAGGGAATATTTTCCTCTACATTTCTTAAACCACACCCTTTGGGGGATATACTTTACCTCAGCCCTTACCGTGCCCCAAAGCACAGCTTTAACTTTTTATGACAATATCACAAGTGTGTCTTCAAATTCCCCTTTTTTGCCTGCCCCTTTTTTTATCTTTCCCGCATTCCCACATACTTGGCCTCCTCCAGCTCCTCCGTGCGCTGAATGGCATCCGTCTCGTATTTGGTTCTCCACTGGGCCACTTCGCTGTTGGCCTTGGACAGGGCACGCTGCAGCTCCCCCTTGGCTTCCTGCTCCTCCTCATATTGTTCCCGGAGCAAGTCACAGTCGTGGCGAGCAGACTGCAAGGCGTGGGCCAGGGCGTTCTTGGCCTGGGTAGAGAGTGGGATTGAGACAAGGAATGGTAATATCCTGGGAAATCTGTTCCAATTAATTAATTTAAGACTGCAAACATGACCACTGTGAAGAACAGAGTTAGGCTTGGAGGACAAAATCACACTCCCCACTAGGAAAATCTTCTCCTAGTATAGCTTATGCTGTCCAAACTAGGCAGTGTGAAGTTAAGAATGTTTTCAATGGCCATTTATAGGAAAAGTCATCACCTTTATCTCTTCCTCTAAGTGCCTTTTGAGCTCCTCAATCTGTTGCGTGAAAGCCTGCTTGCCTCTTGACAGCTGAGAAATCAGAGCATCCTTTTCGTCCACCTGACGTGAATATTCACCTGGAAAAGCACAAAGAAAGGAAATACACTCATTGTCACTAGTGACCCAAACAAGCTGGTTTAGGTTACTCTCCCATTCCATAACACAGAAGAGGCTGTCACCTGATTCTGTTTGAAGGCGAGCTCTTTGAGCATTGAGGTCATTGATCATGCGCTGATGCTCTTCTTCCTTTGTCTTTATCTCACTCAGCTGGTCTTCCAGTGTGCGACACATCTTCTCCAGATTTGCCTGTGGAGATCACAGAGAATGAAAGAAGATTAGTATCTGGACTCCTACTTATTTTGAACAGCAGAATTCTCACCAGAATTAAGAGAACAGATGTGCAAGCTATATACCGATCATTTGTGTTAGAAGGTTAGAAGTACACTTCCATAGAGACAGAGAGTTACATTGTAACCTGACCATATTTATAAAATATATGTTTCCACATTATTTATTTTCAAGTTGTTTTCAGTATATTTTTCAGTACCTTGGCTTTGGAGACAGACTCCATGTTACTGGCCAAGTCGTCAATCTCCATCTTCAGCTCACTCTTCTCCTTCTCCAGCTTCTGCTTCACTCGTTGCAGGTTGTCGATCTGCTCCCCAAGCTCAGCTGTGCTGTCCGCGTGCTTCTTCCGCAGGGCGGCAGCTGTGGCTTCGTGCTGCAGCGTGGCCTCTTCGAGGTCGCGGCGCATCTTCTGAAATTCTGCCTCGCGCTTCTTGTTCATGTCAATCTGAGCTGCGGTAGCCCCTCCTGCTTCTTCCAGGCGCTCGCTGATCTCCTCGAGCTCCCTCGAGAGGTCAGCACGATGCTTCTCTGCTTTTGCCCGAGAGGTTCGTTCTGCCTCAATTTCCTCCTCCAGTTCCTCTATACGAGCCTGGGGAACATTAGGGACCCTTCACACCCAGGCCCTCCTCCTTC